GGTGGGCTTTGGGCGTGGAGATTGGGTAATTTGTTTTACTGTTGAGTTAGAAGGGTTCCTTTACAACCTAGATACAAATCACTTGTATACACAATTTATACTTAACCTGTTGGTTTATCCACTTTCTTATCTGTAAAATGTAGAAAATAATAACTTGTTAGGCTGATAAGAGGATTAAATGAAGTTAACCATTTTTTAACATTTAGAATAGTGGCTGACACTAATCTTCCCATCTTAATGTTTGTGTGTGTGTATTTAGAATTTTGATTATTCATATCATGTCTGTTTTGTGGCTCATTTCTCTATTCATAATTATTTTGGCTTGTAAATAAATGTGTAAAATACGATTCCCATAGATTGAAGTGTTACCAATAATAATAAAAAGAGAGAATTCCAATATTATGTTATATAGTGGAGTAACCCTTAAATACTTAAAGTGTATGTAACAGTCTAAGAAGGGAAAATTATTAGAAATACTAGAATGGGCAGATATTGCCAGTTGTTTTAGACTGCGGCCCAGTTACTCTTTACAACCTAGCTTGAGTTTCCCAATATTGTATGGAAGAAAGGAGGAAAGAATAGCACATGAATGAACTAATTAATGGTTGTAATTTGATTAACAAGCTTTGGAAATTTAAATAGAGGAAGGGCAGAGAAAAGATACTCTAGGACTATTGTTCTCTCTTTAGAGGGCTTTTATGTTTAATTAAAGTTTAATTAACAAGTTTAAAGTGTACAATTCAGCTGCGTTCTGTACATTCACAGTGTTGTGCAACAATCACCTCCATGTAGTGCCAAAACATTTTTATCACCTCCCCAAGGACAATCTGTGCCTCTTAAGCGGTCTCTCCCTATACCTCTACCCCTAGCGCCTGGAAATCATTAACCTGCTTTCTGGCTCTCTAAAATTAACTATTCAGGATATTTCCTATAAATGGATATTTATCTGATTTTTTAACTTATTATAATATTTAAAAGTTTCATTCATATTTTAACATGTATCAAAACTTTATTCCTCTTTGTGACTGTCCATTGTATGGGTATACATCATTTATTCATGCATCAGGTTATGAACATTTGGATTGTTTCCACATTTTGGTTATTGTGAATAGTGCTACTTATATGAGCATTCTTCTTAAAATACTTATTTGATTATTTGTTTTCAATCCCTTTGGGTGTCCACCTCTGGAGCGTAATTGATGGATTATATGAAAATGCCATGTTTAACTTTTTAAGGATAGACGTCATGTTTTTGGAAGGAAACCTTATTGATAACTCTGCTTGCATGTTGGTCAGATGGTGTTCCTGGGCCTGGGATGGGATGACACTTGGTTTAGAGCAGTGTTTAACTTTTTGAGGCACTTTCAAGTAGTTTTCAACAGCAACTGAGTCATTTTATATTCTCATCAGCAGTAGATCAGAGTTCCAATGTCTCTATATCCTCATCTTTAAAAGTGGTTTTCCATAAAAAAGTATGTCTATCCAAGTGAGTGTAAAGTACTATCTTATCTTATAGTTTTGATTTGTGCTTCCATAATTACTAATGATGTTGAACATCTTTTCCTGTGCTTGTTGGCCATTTACATGTCTTTTTTGGAGCAATGTTTATTCAAGTCTTTTGCCCATTTGGGGTATGTATAAAATGTACACAACCATCACCACTACATCTTTCTAAAGCTTTTTCATCACCCTAACTTTTTCTTAATTTTTAGTTGGATTCTCTTTTTTGTTAGTGATTTATAGATATTTTTAATATATTTTGGATGTTAAACCTTTATGAGAAATATTTTTAAGTACTTTATCCCATACTTCCCTTTGATGCATAAAAAGTACTTAATATTTAATAATTTAGCAATATTTGGTTTTACTTGTACTTTTATTTTCATATCTAAGAATCCATTGCCTAATCTGAGGTCATAAAGATCTACCCCTGTTTTCTAGGAATAATTTTACCTTTTATATTTAAGTCTTTCATATACGTTGAGGTAATCATTGCATATGACATGTAACTATCCAGTTGCTTCAGGATCATTGTTGAAGGGACTGTTTTTTCCCTCATTGAATAATCTTGGTACTCTTGTCAAAAATCTATTGACTATAAATTTGTGGATTTATATTTCAAACTCAATTCCCATACATTGTCTATGTCTATGCTTATGATGTACCACACTATTATGATGACTTTAAGTTTGTAGTAACTTGTGTCCATCAACATTTTCTTTTTCAAGACTTTTTTTGTGTGGCTGTTTTAAGTCCCTGGTATTCCATAGCAATCTTAGGATCTACTTTTCCATTTCTACATAAAGGTCATTAGGCTTTTGGTAAGCACTACATTGAATTTATATAGTTTGTTTTGGTTAGGGTTTTCATTTTAAAAATGTTATCTTCCAATTCATGAGCACGGAATGTTTTACCATTTGTGTGTGTGTCTCTAATTTCTCTCATCGATGTTTTATAGTTTTCAGTGTATAGTTTAGAGGTTTTGGAAGTAAGTGCTAAAACTAGAAATTGTATCACCTTGTTTTTGACATAATTTAATGAAATTGCTTTATACAAATACATGCTCTATGCTCTTACATTTCACTTATGGCATTTTCAATGACAAATACAAGTACCTGAGCATCCTTGTTAACTCTATGGAATTGTTATTTCTTTATATTTTATCATAGTTCAACATGAAGAAACAACTTACATTGCAATTGCTTTGAAATCATCCATTCACCTTTATGTGTGGGCACCAAAGTCCTTTGATGAAAACACTGCCATCAAAGTGAGTAATCTTTTCATTTGTAGTGTAGAGTTTTTCTTTTACCAAAAAATTACAGATAGCAATGTTTTGGACTATAAGTACAAAAAGATAAACCATTCTTCTACAATTAATGTCATTTGAATATACCATGTCAATAATTATTGTTTTACCCTTTTTTTAGACAATTCACAGGCACCACAACAAGGTAGAGTATAAGTAAAATCCCTGACCCCTCTCGTTCCCCCAGCTCCTTACTCCCAGTTATACTGTAGTTAATGCGAAAACCTCCCTTCGAGAGACCCAAACATAGGTGCCACCACAAAGGCGTGAAGCTGAGAAAGTCCCTATTCTCTATTTTTATTTTAAAAGATAGATAGATGATAGATAGGTAAATAGATATTGAACAGTTTTACTGGTGTATAATTCACCTATCAGACTATTCAATAGTTCAATTACATCAAGAAGAGTTGCACAATCATCACTACAATCAATTTTAGGACATTGTCTTTATTCTTGTGTGTAGTATTAAATTAAAAAATTAATGACTCTGAGGGAGGGGTGCCAGCCCCCACCGCTAATACTCCTATTGCTACTACTCGGATTCAGTAATACTACTTCTGGGTTCAGTAATGCACAATTGTACGGTTGAGATATATAAGCATTATAAAGTCATCAAGAGCATGAGAGATAATACAATAATACAGTCAGGCATGATACATAGCAACATTGCTCACCTCAACCCAGCTTGGTGGTCCACGTGGAGAGAGGGGGAAGGGAAGGAGGGAAAGGGAACAAGGGAGAGGGGGAAGAGTCAGGGAGGTCAGAGTCCAAGAGAGAAGTCCACCCCTATAGTGCTGGCCCTTGCCTATATACTTTTTGGGGGCAAGCCAACCCACTAATTACAGGTAGAGACATACGTCATAGGGAAGGGTTGCACAATAGGCTACACAGCAATGAGAGGGTGGTCTAGGGGTGGTCTCTGGGTCTCCATAGGAACCCTTATCAGTAGGGTGCAAACCCCACCTAGAGGAACCAAGCTAATGGTCCCAAGCTTCAGAGAGAAGTAGGCCATTGTCTCCAGCAGCAGGGAGCAGGCCCACCCCCTGTGGTGGGATGAGACAGCAGTCTGGCAACAAGTATCTGACTTCCCCCCACACTTGTGCTCATCATTATTATCTCCCCATTTTCCCCCAACATCTCCTATCATAACTGCAAGGAACCATTAACCTGATTACTACCACTATAGATTTACCTATCATAAATTTCATATACAGAAAAACATTAAGAAAACAAAAACTAGCTATAATAACAAAGTAAAACAGATAAAACCCCAATTGAAAAGAATATATTTAAAACTAGAACAAGTTTAAAATAGGTCATAAGGGAGACCAAATAATAAGGAGGAGCCCTGTTGGTGTCATTGTTATGCGTTGGGCTGTGATCCACATGGTTGGCAGTTCAAAACCACACCACCAGCAGCTCTGCGGGACAAAGACTAGGCTTTCTATTCCCATAAACAGTTGCAGTCTCAGAAACCCACAGGGGGTCGCTCAGAATTAGCATTGACTCAGTGGCAGAGAGTTTGGTTTGGAGTTTCCCCTTCATTAAAAAAAAAAACAACAATAAACCTGAAACAACCTTAAAACGGGTCAAAAGGGAGATGAAATGATAAGAGTATATTTTAACTGAGCTACATCTGCCTTAATTGACTTTACGGTGCTCTCTGTCTGATAACAAGGGTATCCACTTCCTTCAACTGTCATCAGAGGGAATTCACCGGAGGCTTATTTGGGACTTCTCCTGTCATCCACAGTCTTTTACAGAACCAGGTGTTCCCAATTTAAGCTCTGATCCCATTCCATCCTTTGGATTTGGATTACATTAATTTTAATCGTTGGATCATACAGACAGACACACTTCTTCCATATGGACTTAGTTGATGCCTTATTTAAATGGTGGCTTGTTTGAAGATAAGCCTTTAGGACCCCAGAAGCTGTTTCTTCTGATAACTGGGCACCATCTCATTTCTTCACCATACTTTGTGACATCACTCATATCTTTAATGATCTCTTCATGAGGCCTAGCATCAAGCAGAGCCATGTCATAAGGACTAATTGTTTTAACATGGGCTAGAATTAAAGTGAAAGCTCAAAATCCATGAATATATCTAGAGTTTATATATGTCTCTCGTTCACCTGAGAGATATCATTGTCATACTATGTTAGAGAACATTATCAATCATTCTGTCTTCGTGAGGAGTATGGAGAGCAGAGGGAGTTTAGGAAAAGGAAAAGATACAGCAGTGGTAGAGACTGAAATCCTATTGGAGAGAGACAAGTTAAAATAAAGCCTTTGTTCCACTCTCAGAGCTACAAAAGATGGGGTCAAGGAGAAAAGGAGTTGACCTATATTCCTTCTAAGCTTGAACTTTATTTTTATTTTTTTACTGTTTGTCATCTTTATTTTTATTTATTTATTTTTTAACATTTTATTAGGGGCTCATACAACTGTTATCCCAATCCATACACACATCAATTGTGTAAAGCGCATTTGTACATCGTTTCTCAAAACATTTTCTCTCCATTTAAACCCCCGACATTAGGTCCTCATTTTTCCCCTCCCTCCCCGCTCCCCACTCCCGCATGAGCCCTTGATAGTTTATAAATGGGTATTTACCAAGCTTGAACTTTAAACAAAGCATTTCTCTCTGAAAATAATAGTCAGACGTCTTGATTAGGTTTATTTGAATTGCTAGTGTTATATTCACTTTTATTATTGTTTAGTTGAATTTCTATGGATCAGCCTTGGAAGTCAATGTTTTTTTTTATCATGTTCTATAAGTTGTGCACAGTTTTTATCTAGAGTAACTCACATATAATGCATCAAAATTAAAGTCAATCCACTTAAGCGGGATTATTTTGCATGTATGCAATAGTAATAAAATCAGTAAACTTTATATAGTGTCCAGTACCTCCTAACCTTAAGCTCAACAGCAGAATCACCTGGAATATTTGTTGAAAATTCAGATCTCAGACCCAACCCCAGGTTGTGCTTATGCATCTGGAGTGGGGCCTGGGAACAAATATTTTTAACAAATGCCTAGTTGATTTTGAACTAGTTGGTCCACACACAAGCATTTACAAAGTACTGATAGGGGTGCATTTTGACAGATCCCAGTAAAGTATACATAAGCTACTTTTGTACCTTAACTCAGATTCTTTTTATATGGTATATTTTAGAGTTGAAGACATCATATGTGCATAATAAAAACAGCCTAATTCTTATCACTGTACCTCAATGTCTATCTATAACAATATATAAATAGCATAGACTATAAACAGGGTGGGTCTGCCCTGACACAGGTCACATCCCTGATCTGATCTCCCTAAATTGTGCCTTGGATCAACTGCCAGTATTTGGATATGGGTTTGTTCTTTAGGGTCTGCTGGTTGGTTAGAGCTGCCTGGTATGGGGCTGGAAAGCAAAGAATAAGTTCTAACCTCTTGTCTAGCCTGATACACAGTTTCTCACTTCAGTTCTTGAATCCTACTTTATGTCTCCAATATAAGGAATCCCATGATACTAAGCCCTCCTCTGTGACCTGTCTTGTCAATGAAGCCTCTTTTGGTCACTGGTGTCCTTTGACTAGGAACCATAGGAGCCTAAAGAACTCCCATTTTTGTGATAGGTTAACATGTCTGACCTTTTTCATTCCCTACTAAGTATGCGTTGATCAATCAGCAGACTCTGAAGGAGATTATATGTCCTATGAAGCCTATATACGAATACTGGCAAAAATAAAGGCAGCTGATCCAGCCAACCGGTTTAAGAGACCAGATGAGCTCCTTCATTTGCTGAAGCTCAAGGCAAGGAATTTAAAGACAACCAACAGTACAAGGCTCTGCAAACTTTTTTATAATCTTTGGCAATTTTCTTTTTGGAGGGAAACTCCTAATTTATAATCTGAATATAAATGTATCCATTCTAAAATAATAGACCCTAAGATACATTATAATATATAGGTCTTTGTATACCTAGTACCATTTAAAAATAAACCTGACTTAAAATCATGTTAAGCAAATAGTGGAAGAGTTTTTGCCTTAGTCAAATGATTGTTTTGGTCTTTGGGCTATATTTGATTTTATATTTACAGGTATTTCCAACGCTTGGTCATAAGCCAGTGACAGTTGACCTAGCTATTGGCTCTGAAAAAAGCCTCAAGATTTTCTTCAGCTCAGCAGATGGATATCACATTATCGATGCCGAATCTGAGGTTATGTCTGATGTGACCCTGCCCAATAATGTAAGATAATATCTTCAAATCCCTGGAAATGATTAGCTATCACACTAGTAGAGGTTTTTCAACTGCTAAAACCCTTAAAAGTTTGAAAATATGATCAGCAGTATATATTTGGGAATGGAAACCAAGAAGGTAAGCACAGAATACTAGCAAGTGGTTATGGGTAAACAAATATTGTGTATGGTTTCTTAGTCCAGACAATGAAATCTGTATTACTATTTATTATTTTTAAAATAATTTTATTAGGGGCTCATACAACTCTTATCACAATCCATACACACATCAATTGTGTAAAGTGCATTTGTACATTCATTGCCCTCATCATTCTCAAAACATTTCCTCTCCACTTAAACCCCCGACATTAGGTCCTCATTTTCCCCCTTGCTCCCCGCTCCCCCCTCCCTCATGAGCCCTTGATAGTTTATAAATTGTTATTTTGTCATATCTTGCCCTGTCCAACGTCTCCCTTCACCCACTTTTCTGTTGTCCGTCCCCCAGGGAGGATGTCACATACAGTTCCTTGTAATCAGTTCCCTCTTTCCTACCCACTCTCCCTCTACTCTGCACTGCCCCCATCATTCACTATGGTAAGATTTTTTGTTCTGATGATGCCTTATACCTGATTCCTTCGACACCTCATGGTTGCATAGGCTGGTGTGCTTCTTCCATGTGGGCTTTGTTGCTTCTGAGCTTGATGGCCGCTTGTTTACCTTCAAGCTTTTAAGACCCCAGACGCTATATCTTTTGATAGCCGGGCACCATCAGCTTTCTTCACCACATTTGCTTATTCACCCGCTTTGTCTTCAGCGGTTGTGTCCGGAAGGTGAGCATCACAGAATGCCAATTTAATACAAGAAAGTATTCTTGCGTTGAGGGAGTACTTGAGTGGAGGCCCAATGTCCTTCTGATACCTTAATACTAAACCTATAAATATAGGCTCATAGATCTATTTCCCCATCCTCATATAAATATATTTGCATATGTACATGTCTTTATATAGACCTCTATAAATGCCCTTTTCCTCCCAGCTCTTTCCTCTATTTCCCTTGATTCTCCTCCTGTCCCACTATCATGCTCAGTCCCCACCAGGATTTCAGCACTTCCTCTTTGCTACATTCCACTTGATCATGCCCTACCAGGACTCCCACACCCACCTCCCCACCAATTTGGATCGCTTGTTGTTCCCTTGTCCCTGGTTTTGTTAACACCTCTTCCCTTCCCCCCACCTTGCCCTCTCCCCTGTCAGTCCCATTGTTTTCTCCTCCAGATTGTTCATCCAGCCTGTCCTATCCAGACAGACCTGCGGAAATCTGTATTATAAATGGATTTTATCATTGTAAAACAGTGTGATTTGTTGGTTTTTAATGAATAAAATTTACATTTGAGAATCTATATTTCTATTGAAAACCAGAAGATCTGACTATATCCAGTCCTCGTTCTATCTGGTCATGAACAACTGCAACTGATGGCTGATTGCCCCCCTCCCCTTTCTATGGGATCTAAGAGCTCCATTTCTGAGCCATCCACTTTTGTGGATGTAGAATAAGTGGATTATGAGTTGGGCTGCTAAGTACAAGGTCAGTAGTTTGAAATCATCAGTTGCTCCATGTGAGAAATATGTAGCTTTCTGCCTCTGTTAAGATTCACAACCTTGGAGACCCATGGGGGCAGTTCTAATTTGTCCTACTGAGTCAGTCTGAGACAGAATGTGCTTGATGGCAGAGATTTGAGAGCCCTTGTTCGGTATCCTCGACTTAGTTTTCGTGAGCCCCTGCAACACATTAGTAGATTCTTTAAAACTACAGCTTGACTATTAAAATTTGAAACATTATCATACCTGTCCTTCATCTTTATCAGAGATTTCAGATAAAAAGTTAGTGTCACACTGAAAATGAACCATATCACGTATGAAATAGTTAATTATATACTGCAATTCTTGCCATTTCTATTTAAAAAAACAATTATAGCTAGCACAAATGGATACACATAACTCTATTAAATATAAATCCATGGCATCTCAGATCTGATGATAGTTATGAAGTTCGTATTATTGAACAACATTTTGACAAGGAAAGGTTGAACAAATATTTCTATGCTTCACTTTTTCTTAATTTTCTGTTTTATTAAAACCAAACACTACTATCTCGTAGACATGAAATTCTAGTGACCCTAGATACATTTTCTGAGACTTTAAATCTTTACTGGAGCAGACAGCCTCATCTTTCCTGTGCAGCTGCTGGTGAATTTGAATCGCCAACTTTCCATTGATTGGTTCAACTCCTAAGATACAGAGCCATCGAGCCCCTCCTCAGTTTATAGACAACTAAAATTTAGTGTTATGTAAGAGAAAACTCATTAATTTTTCAGTCACTGTGTTATTGTAAAGGAGCCCTCCTAGCACAGTGGTTAAAGCACTCCGCCGCTAATAGAACAGTGAGCAGTTTGAATGCACCATTGATGCTGCAGGAGAAAGATGTGGCAATCTGCTTCTGGGAAGATTTCAGTCTTGGAAACACTACGAAACAGCTCTACTCTGTCCTGTTGGGTCAAAATGAATCAGTACCTATTTGATAGCAACAGGTTTGTGATCAGTCTTGCTGTTAGTTTCTGTCCAGGGAGCTCTAAATCATGCTGACCTTACACCTAACATAATGATTCATAGTAAATCATTATGGCCTGGTCCTATGCCATCTTCATAGGCATTGGTAGTGCAGCGTAGTTGTTTGGTATTTTGAACAAATTTCAGAATGTTTCATTAATCTCTGAGAAATAAAAAAGAGAGATTTCCAGATCCTAACTGGGGTTGTTTTTTTTTCAAAATTGTTTCAGCCATATTAGTAATCTCACCCAGTTGTTACCTATGATTACATAGAAATAACCTTGATAATGTAGAAAATAACAAACCAGCATGAGCAAAGCCACTGAGATATCAGGCCGTGTCATTTTAAGATACATTTTTTTCTTTGGATTAATGTTTCTTTCAAGGCTTACAGCGCCTTATTTTTTTCATGCATCTTGTTATTTTATTTTATATTGTGTCGGGTAGCCTTAATTTAAAAGTAAATGTGATACTGAACTTTACAATAGTGGTCCAAGTTTACGCGTGCGTAAGTAGTCATTCAAGAAAGGTGAGCTCTGTGTGTCACTTGACTGCAAAGCACAAGAATTGTTTCTTGTAAGGCAATCATTAGTTAATTATTGTAGGAACTAGACTGAGAGAAGATTAATTTCTCTAAAATCATGCTCTGACCTAATTAAGATACCTTACATATATTCAAAAATATTTTTAGCTCAATCCCTGATGTCTTGACCCATCAAGAGAAAACGGACTCTAATACAAGGGAGGGAGGGATATATTTTGAAACAGAACACACTAAAAATAATATCTTACCCCAGAGTCCTACTTTGCAAACACTGTAAGGCTACAAAGTAGCCTTGTGTGCTAAAAAATAATTGGTTACTTCAAAAATCATCTGAGAAAGAAGAGAATTATATCTCTGAAGCTGTCTGGATTTCCATCAGTCTTGATTTATTCTGAACAGGTTTTATTAAGACAGCCTTCTTTCTTGCACTTCATTTCTCTTTTCATCTCTTTACTGACTCCTTTGCTCATGCGAGTGCCCAGGCAACGCATTAAAATTGCTTTTCGCCTCTGGATACCTGTTTTAGTTTTAAGGATAGTCGTTGCTGAGACATGGCCTCAAGCACTTGGCCTAAGTATGCTCAATTTGGCAAGTATTGTTTATGACTTTTTACCTATCATTTGTTCATTTGAGAAGGAATAGAGTAGCCTAATTGTTCATTGATCTGAGAAATACTGTCAGTGTGACAGTCCCTGTAGTTGAAGCAACGTCTGTCACATACTGTTGAATGCAGCATAAAAATTAGGATTGCTTAATTTCTTAGTATCTCATACATGCCACTGAATATGTCTCTGGATTTAATAAATTCCTTGGCTTTTTTTGTCATAGGCATTTGTGTATTGAATGTTTTTTAAGATTGTAAAAAATAGATTAAAAGCCTGCAAGTGAGGAGGACTGGAGCTGAAGTGAAGGATTTTATGAAGCTGCCTTTTATAAACATTTTAAGCTCAAGCTATTTCTGAGTGGATTTTCTATTTAGATTCAAATGAATGGGCTGATAAGCTGTTGGTTATTCTTGGCTAACACGTTCTTACTAAAGTTTTCATACATGTGCTGAAATGAATATTAAATTCAATTCAACTATCTAAATTTAACATTTCTTCTATTATTAGACTGATTACTAAAAATTCAGTGCATTTTTCTGTGTTAGAAATATATCTGGACTTTTTTTTTTTTTCACGAAGGGGTTTCTTTTCAGTATCAAGGAATATGGCCCAGTGACTATTTTATGCCATAGGCATAAGTTTTTTAAGTTTTAAAGAGACCTGGTGTGACAGTGGGTTAAGCATTGTGGGTCAGCGCATGTGGTTCAAACCCACCAACAGTTCCTTGGGATCGATTCGATGGTAGTGGGCTAGTGGAGTTTCCGGTTTTAGGTGGTACATAGTTCGATTTTTTTACATAGAGGTTTTCCCCTCCTTTCCTGCATTTTGAACCTCTGTCCTGTCTCTATTAATTCACTCAAGTGGCTTCAACTAAAGTCACAGTGATCAAATGTTGGGTCTGTAAATCTGTATGCAACATAAACCCATCCCATGAAAATCTCTCTACCACAGAGTATCGTCATTCTGCCTGATTGCTTGGGATTTGGCATGATGCTCACCTTCAATGCTGAAGCCCTTTCTGTGGAAGCAAATGAACAACTCTTCAAGAAGATCCTTGAAGTGTGGAAAGACGTACCATCTTCTGTGGGTATGTATAGATATTTTTAGTGTTTTATACAAACCCAGAGGAGCTTCTCAAGGGTAAAAATATGCCCTGCTAAATAATTGCTTATTACATAGTTTTTCTGGGCAAATAGGATTCATTTGGGATCCTGCATTCTTGGTTCCATAAGAAGATGGTGTGTGTTTGTCATATGCTCACTGCGTTCACAGGTATCCCACGAAGAAGCTAGTTTTGATGATCTGATTTGTGCTCCCTTTACCATAGCTATGTAATTGAAACAGGGAATCATTCTCTTCCCAATCTGTACTTTAATTTTCACTTCCTCTGCTTACAGACTATATAGATACTGAAAATGCTTCTTCTCATCACATTGATTGTGGCTGGGTGGGGTTACACTTATCTTAAGAGACAGGCAAAAAAAAAAGCAAAATGTTTCTATGATATCACAGTCAGTAGTGTTTGACTTTATCACTATATCCGAGGAGTGATTGTGAAAAATAAAATATAAACTGAATATATGACATATTGGTTGTCACTAAAATGTCATCATTCTCCATTTAGAAAAAAGATAAGTAGTGACTGACTGGAATGCTATTAGATACCTCCCAGAGGGCAAATGTCTCCCAGGAGACTTCCATTTCAACCATGGCAGACAAGGACTTTTTTTGGGTACACATCCAGATGCTTCATTTGAATGAGCAACCCTTAGTCATAAATGCAAACTCTATTAATAATTCCCCTTAGTGCAGCAAGGGCTTTCCCCCCACTTCTTAACCAATGCAGGAATGCTGAACTGAGAATCGAGAATAATTGTTGTGTGGCTCTCTGAGTCTTGCTAAATATATGGGTAATTTTTAAATGGAGGCCAGAGTACATACAAGAATTAGAAATGCTAGAGAAAGTAGACAGATTTGGGAGAGAATAAACACTCATGAGAGGAGGAGAATTTAATGGACTAAATAAAGGAGTATGAGAGATAAAGAAGAACAAGGAAGAGGAGAAGAATTGATCTACCAGTAGATTACCCAGAAGCTTTTGAAATCTCTGTAAAATTGTTGTGACTTTAAAGACCGAATCAAAAGAACCTACTTTTCATGAACATTTTTCATTATGGGATAATGGCACATTACATTGCATTTTCAGAATATATTCTTTTTGTATAGCTAGTGTGAAAGGTTGCCTTGAAATTGTGTTCCATTCTCTCCAAACAGTTAAGAGCTCACAGTTTATGACTGCTTTAAGTGACAGAAAGTAAATGCTTGCAGCATAATTGACAGATCTGGGACAAAAGAGTCCCAGAATATTAAAATAAAGAATATTCTTCTCATCTTCAGAGTGATAATTTTGTGATCAGTGTGCTACTCAGAAATGGGAATAAGGAAATTAAATTGAAATGAGTTGAACATACCCCTATAGTTATACCACCCGACACTCATAGAAATCAAAGAGATCTTGAAACACCTTCTGACCTGAAAGGAAAATCTATTTTAATTTGTTATAACTTAAAAGACATCTCTCTATCTAAATGTAAAATAAATTATAGTACTATTTGGAGGTGATATTTCCTTTTGTATATTAAATATTTTTGAGAATATACTAAAGATGACAGTATAAACACTAATGTTAAATACGTCAGTTACTTGGCTTTTCTGGCTAAAATAAACCCCTTCTTAATTATGTAAAACTAACCCAGATCCAGATGTCCTTAATTTAAAATTGTATCCTTCCCGCAGCTATAATACACGTTTTCAAGCATAGGATTATTGCTTTGGAGTCCCCAACGAATGTTTGCAGGTACAGCAATCACATGCATTACTAAATCTCCAGTCTCTGAAAGCATACTGGTCCACACAGCTATGCAGTAGCTAGATTAAGTGGTCAATTTATGTGTCAAGATTTTCAGCAGGTTTTAATTTTAAGATTAAGGGAAAAATAACAGGATGCCATATCAATTGTGTACTTAGACTCAACAAGTAGTCTATGCGTAGAAAGCTTAATCCTGTGAAGGTGTTCACAAAATTCACATTTTTTATGTAGTCGCCGAGGTGAAGAAGTCTAAATACAGATAGACTAACTCTATAACTTGCTGCCATCACGCAAACCACTCTGCCTTCCCGTACTTCCTTTTTATCTGGGCTGATTTTAAGCTTAATCTGAAACTGAAGTTGTAAAGTCTTTTTTCAAGAGAGCAATTTTTCTGAATCAAAATGACTGCAATTTAATTACAATTTGATATAGCTTTCATATACATCATATTTTTAATTTTCATGTAAAGGGAAGGAGATCATAAACGCTTCCTAAGATTTAATTGAGGGATGTAAAATGACTGATACTCTGCCTATGAAAAGTCACTTAAAAGTTGAATTGCATTTTTATGAGTCTTTATTTTCTTTGTAAATTTTCTTTGTAAACAAAAGCATTCTAAAACATTCAGGAAATAAAGGAGAATATATATAGTAATTTTTTCAATATTGAGCTTCATTTATAATAGAAAAAATCAAATTATTTTACTGAATTATGATTTGTCGATGTGGGCATGAGGTTACCTTATTTTGTTTTCCAGACTATTTTAGCTTTAGTGAAAACCCTGATGTTATTTTAAATACCAGAGTTGGTTTTTGGGGGGGAAATTGCTTCCCTTTAAAAAAAAAATACATCAACTGGGAAGCTAAATATTTAGCTGCTTTTTTTTTTTTCCTGAGCCAAAAAATACCTGACAACACCAGCTGGCTGAGTGGCTGTTTCCATAATTAGGTTCCTGCTTTACCGTAATTATTATCATCATCTTTATTGTGCAAAGTAATATAAATAGGACTAAAAAGTTAAAATATATAATTTTCTGTGCAGAAGAAAGCCTTAACTGTATAAAAGGAGCTTCAGTTCTGTTAAGAACATCACATTGAATTGCATTAGCGTTGCTAAATTCATTATTACAGCAAGTCATTTTTCTTAACTGTTGTCATTTTAAGAGTCCCATGTCCATGCCTGCCACTTGAGTGTAAATATAGCCCATATGGAATATTGTACTTTACTGAGACTAGAATAAAGAATGGGTACCTTTAAATGACAACCATGAGCACTTGACTTTGTGGTATTGAAGAAACCAAGAGATCTAGACTTTCAATGTTTGTCAAGATCGTGTCAACAGATAACCGGTTTGAACACCACTCCTAAGCTTCAAAATGGTCATATCATTGACTAAAGAGAGAACAAAGATGGGGATTTTACATATATATATATATATTTAAACCTGAACTATAACAATGAACCTCTGACTAATAAAACAGTGAATGTGGTTATAATTTTATAATCACTTCTGAAAAAATTTTGTACTTTTATAATTTTCTATTTTCATTTTAGCATACGAATGTACACAGCGAACCACAGGATGGGACCAAAAAGCCATTGAAGTGCGTTCTTTGCAATCAAAAGTCCTGGAAAATGAGCTGAAGCGCAGATCAATCAAGAAGCTGAGATTCCTTTGTTCCCGTGGGGACAAGGTATTGTGTACATTGTCCAGTCATAGCAAAAATAAAGCAAGCATTAAATATTAATTAAAGGAAATTATACCCTTCTCCTTGTAGCCATGCATGTATTTGTGCCATATTTTTCTTTTTTTTTAAATGGTTGAGTTTTAAAATTTTATTTGCCATCCAGGTCATGCTGTTAATATATCTAGTAATAAATCTATGTTAGTAGACATATAAAACGAAAGACATGATGTAATGTTTAAGAGCACAGAGTTCTAAATCAGAACAGACTTGGGTTCAAATTCTACCTTTCTCACTTATGGTGTGACCCTGGACAAACTGATTAGCCTCTTAGAGCAGAGCTTTGGTGTCCTTTATCTGTAAAATGAGGAGAATATTGGCTACTTGTCAGGGTTATTGGGAGGATAAAATAAACTACGTATGGTAGTGCTTTTAATTACGTAGCTGTTACTGATGTCTGAGGCAAATTAAGGTTATTGTCCTGGGCAGTAGAATTGAATTCTTCTTGAAAGATTACTAAAAGGAGGTTTTAAAAAATACAAGGAAAGGGGGTCGGGGGAGGAGGTGATACCATCCATGGACTTACTATTGATCAAAAGAATTTTGCATCAAAATATTGATGTGGTCAATGATGACATTCGTTTTCAAAAGGAAGCAATTTGAAAAAAGAAAAAGTAAGCTTTTTGTCATGTCCTCAGCAAAGCTTAGCCATTATTTTGTTTAGTTTGTGCAAAATCCATAAGTGGTTTTGCTCAATAGCCCTTTGCCTTTTCATATTAAACATAGTAAACAGATTGCTGGGGGCAATCTACCCCTGAGACCTTTAAGTAACAAACAAAAACAGAAGAAATAATTCCGTCTTGTGTTGGGTCCTTCAGAAAGCTACCTAATTTAATATTCAAAAGTAGGTATTATATCCATTTTTGCACCAAAGAAAAATGAGGCCAATTTTTAAAAAATGTTGACAACCATTTACATAGAAAAGATCATTATTTAAGATATTGAAGTCCCTGCATATGGTTAGAAACAGAAGCATGAAGCCAGGATAAGAAAATGTTCACATTTAGAAGACATTGCAGACAATTCAAGCGTAAAACAGTTAACATCAAAGGTACTCATTTGACCTAGTGCACAGAGATGGCCTAGTTCTGACAACTAACTAGGTGTGAGAACCAGAAAAAAGTGTGGTTAATCTTTCCTAGCCTTTGTTTTCTCATCTCCCAAATCGAAATACTAACAACAGCTTAGGAGAACATTGTGAAAATTAATGATAACGGGTATGTAGTAAGCATCTCACAGTGTCTGGCACATAAACGGAGGTATGTCAAAGAGAGCATGCACGGCTTGTCATTATCATCTTTATTATGTAACAAACCCTTTCAAGTGTAATTATTGTGGATGTTAAATGCTCTAGTCATGACCCAGAGGCCCATGTTTGATATTTATGTTCACATTCTATTCTGATTTTATCTATGGCACAAACCACATTTACTCAACATATCCCTGTCTAAGTCACTGTACTTCAAACTGATCTGTCAGTTGGTGTTGGAAAAGTGAACCACAAAGTAGAAAATTCCAGTGACCTCTTAACTCCACAGCAAAGGGAACTAGCAGCTAAAGAATTTCATCACCTCCTAATTTACGAAGAAAAGACAACATTAATAACATTTTTGGATTATTTATTTATTTTTCTTTTTTTAATCGTTTTATTAGGGGCTCATACAACTCTTACCACAATCCATACATACATCAATTGTGTAAAGCACATTTGTACATTCATTGCCCTCATTGTGAAAACATTTGCTCTCCACTTAAGCCCCTGGCATCGGCTCCTATATTTTTCCCCCTCCTTCCTGCTCCCCCACCCCATGAACCCTTGGTAATTTATACATTATTGTTTTGTCGTTTCTTGCTCTGTCTGACGTCTCCCTTCACCCACATTTCTATTGTCCACCCCCCAGGGAGGAGGTCACAAGTAGATCCTTGTAATTGGTTCCCTCTTTACAACCAACTCTCCCTCCATCCTCCCAGAATTGCCACTCATACCACTGGTCCTGAAGGGATCACCCACCCTGAATTCCCTGTGTTTCCAGTTCCTATCTGTATCAGTGTACATCCTCTGGTCTAGCCAGACTTGCAAGGTAGAATTGGGATCATGATAGTTTGGGGGCGGGTGGGGAAGCATTTAGGAACTAGAGGAAAGTTGTATTTTTCATTGTTGATACATCTCACCCTGACTGGCTCATCTCCTCCCAGAAACCCTTCTGTAAGGGGATGTCCAGTGGCCTACAAATGGGCTTTGGGTTACCACTCCGCACTCCTCCCCTCTCATTCACTGTGGGAAGATTTTTTGTTCTGATGATGCCTGATCCCTGATCCCTTTGACACCATGTGATCACATAGGCTGGTGTTCTTCTTCCATTTGGGCTTTGTTGCTTCTGAGCTAGATGGCCGCTTGTTTACCTTCAAGCCTTTAAGACCCCAGGCGCTATACCTTTTAATAGCCAGGCACCATCAGCTTTCTTTACCACATTTGCTTATGCACCCATTTGTCTTCAGCGATCGTATCATGGAGGTGAGCGCAAAATGATATGATGTTTTGTTCTTTGATACCTGATAATTGAACCCTTCAGCACCTTGCAATCACACAGGCTGGTGTGCTTCTTTCATGTGAGCTTTGTTGCTTCTGAGCTAGATGGCCGCTTGTTTACCTTCAAGCCTTTAAGACCCCAGACACTATATCTTTTGATAGCCGGGCACCATCAGCTTTCTTCACCACATTTGTTTTTTCACCCGCTTTGTCTTCAGCGGTTGTGTCGGGAAGGTGAGCATCATAGAATGCCAATTTAATAAAGTATTTTGTGTTGAGGGAGTACTTGAGTGGAGGCCCAATGTCCTTCTGCTACCCTAATACTAAACCTATAAATATATGCACATAAATCTATTTCCCCATCCTCATATATAAATATAGTTGCATACGTACATGTCTTTATCTAGACCTGTAGAAATGCCCTTTGCCTCCTAGCTCTTTCCTCTATTTCCTTTGACTTTCCTCCTGTCAATTTGTGGGTTATTTAAAAGATAAATAGCAAAAGGGAATTTTCAACCCAAGCTAAGCAAGTACTTCAGATGAATGCCACTTATAAGATAGTAGCTTGAATTATTTAAGCCATACTTACTAAAAATATGTAGAACATGGTAAAGATGTTATTTGTAATTATAAAGTCAGACTCTAAATTTAAGTTTTTTATTTTTCTAATCAGAAAAACTGGTAGGGTTCAATATATAATGGTCAGATGATGATTAACTTTAGTACTTATAATTTTGCTGATCAAATTTAATTTTATAATGTATGAGACATATACTGATGGTGTCTTTTTCTTCTTCTTTTAAAGCTCTTCTTTACCTCTATCCTGCGCAATCACCACAGCCGGGTTTATTTCATGACCCTTGGAAAACTTGAAGAATTCCAAAACAATGATGGTGTTTAAAAGATGATGACAGCATTTATAAGCATCAAAACTAGGCAATTTGCCTCTTCAAATTTCTGAGATTAAATAAGCATTCAGGTTTTTTTTTGTTTGTTGTTGTTAGGGAGAGTATATCTAGAGAAGTTACTTATAATGTAGCACAGAATAGTTTTAATAAGAAATGTAGCTTTATATAAGATTAACTATAGCAAGCTCTATGGACTCCTATGGTGTACAACTTCTTTTGCACAAACTTTGTAACTTTTGTTACTGTGAATTCAAACACTACTCTTTGGTGAGTTTGGACACTATCTCTATCAATATTTTACAACCTGGTGTTAAGAAACCTGTTAGGAGTTTTATTCCAAGTAGTTTTCAGAAGAATTAATCCTCACTGAAAAGTTTCAGGAAAAGAAAATCAGTAACAAACCCTGTGTGATGTATTCAAAATCATGTAAAGAAACGAAGGTTAGATCATGAAATGAAAATAGTAAGGACTATGCTGTAAAGCAGAGGGATGTCTGCCTCATTTAGACTAGAGAGAGAAACTACAGTGATCACAGGGCGAGGGAAAATAAGCATTTGCCATGGAGTTCATTCTGACGGATGAGCCCTTATTTATTGTCTGAATAGAACTGTGTGCCATAGGGACTGGTTGTTCAGAAATATAGATTGCTAGGCCTTTTTTTCTCAGGCATCTCTTTGTGGACTCAAACCTCCAACTTTTAAGTTAGCATCAGAGCACTTTCGCATCAGTGCCCCCGGGGGATGCTCGGTAAAGCAAAAGGGCCACCAATTCCTTTAACTTATTTGAAGGACGGCCACAATAGTTAAACCAACAGGTAGTGACCATCTGTCTTCTTTTTAACTCACGTTAAGCTAATTTTCTCCTGATAAGAACCAAACCTCATATACTTAGATTCCCTTAGAACCCCAAAGATGTGCAATAGCTGTTTTTACAAACCACCAAATAATACACTTGCAAGCACGTATACACATGTACTGTAGAATATTTTTTGTTTTAATCCTTTGAAGTAGGCATCAAATTATCCTACAAGGATGAATTGGATTCTTATCTGGCCATCAGTGTGACTGGCCATCAGCTAGCATCGAGTAATTGGCCTAATCCCACAGTAAAATATATCCTATTGTCTTTAGTTATTAAACAAAAGCACAATGACACACAATGTTGTCTGCTAATACTTATCTTTTTGTGTTTTGATTTCTACAAATTGGAGATTTAACCTAAAGCCATTTCTGATAAATTTATATATAGACACTCATTGTTACAGGCTCAAAAACGTCAAAGATATGGGGCAAATCAATTTTATCACTTAGCTAAGGCCATAGAATTAGACTGGTAATTGACAAGGATGTTAGTAAATTTTCCAAATAACTTACAGTCCCCATAGATTGGTGGCGTTGGTCACCTATGGTAACCGCTACCTGCTAAAAGGAATCCTTCCTGCAGATTCATCCTCAATACCATGGTTAGTTCTGGGGCAAAACGGAAGCGGCAGAACTACCACCAAGAATACCTCAGTCTAATTCCTCTAGCTCTGCTTTTAAATGTGGAAGACAGTGCCAGTGGGATGATCATTTCAAACTACCTTGTTAACCAAAATAAAAAGCAGCTAACTATGTGTGATTTCAGGATAATACAACATCTCTGGCAGCAAAGGTGCCAGGAGAGAAGATTTGGATTTTCCTAACAACTTACATCAAGTATGGAGACTTTAGGAGAACCTGAATCCGTGATATAAAGAAATCAATGTGATTCACACTTCTGTTACTGTGACACAATAATGTGACCCTAAAACTGGCTTAGCCTTGAGTGTTTACAACTCGAATGACTTTTTAAATACTGTAGTTTAAAAAGGAAGGAGACTTTTATGTTAAGATTATTTCTTTAGAAATAGTCTTCATTATTATAAATTTGTACACCAAAAAGGCAATGGGGAACTTTGTGCAAGTACCTCATTGCTGAGCAAATGGAGCTTGCTATGTTTGAATTTCAGAAAATGTTCTCATATTAGTAGTTTAGAATCATGTATTTTAAGACTTCTTTTTTTTCTTCATAATAGTTACTCAGAGTTAAGATTCAAAATTACGTTTATATTAAAATCATATGATTAAGGGCAATAACTATTTTAGTAAGTCAACTCCCATTGTACTTCTGTGGCTGTTATTCTAGTAATCATTGAACATTGTTAACTGGATCTACAAAGGTTTCTTCAAGTAGCCAAGCAAGAGAGATTATAGATTTGTGACTACCTTTAAAGGATAAGGTGTTATTGAAAAAAGGAAGCTGGGTCCATATCAAGAAGGGTTACCCTAAGATTAAATGGCCAACCTGTAACAAAAACTAGCTGCCTTTCAAATGATTGCAAATCATAGCAGCCCCATGTGTGGCAGAGTAGAACTGCAGCACTTGCCCTAACTGAAGACTGGCCAAAGAGCAAAAATGGGAAATATTTAAAGTTATTTGTAATGGATTTAATCAGAAATATTCATTTGGAGGCTTTAGCTCATTTGCCAGCTGATACTGGAAAGTGAATGGCCAATGCCATTGCCCAGTCCCCACTTCGTGCTAGTACCATCAGGACGCTCCGGCCCAGTGCAGAAGCATGGGGCAGATGGAGCCCCAACTAGCCAGTTTCTCTAGTCCTCTGATTTGAAGCATGAAAAGTTTGACAGGTTGGGAGAAGCTTTGGGGCCAAAATTGCAGTTTGATTTTAGTGCGATTTAACTTTTTCACCAAATCTTTTACCAAAATGAATTGCATTATTGAAAAGATTAGAAAGATGGAAAATAAGGGTGCAAAGAGATGATAGGTAAATTTGAGTGATTACATCTGTTGAAGTAAGGTAGGATCCTGGGAGACAGGACAGGGAAAGAAGAACCGATAGTGTTTATTAAGATAAAATAGATACTGCAGTATTACACAAACATGCAAACAGTACATTAGAATGCATTGATTTTAATATTTTTGGTGCCACAAATTTCTAGCTAAATTAGTCACTATGTTCTACCAAGAGTCATCGAATTGAAGTGGGATGTATAAAATAGAACTACCGCCACATACATCCAATGGGATCTTTTAAGTATTCTTTTAATAGTTTTTGAGAAATGTGCCCATTTAAATATACTCTTAAGTTTTCAAGAATATGCAATTATCTTTAAAACTGTTAATCATTTCATCAGGAATTATTCAATGAGTCATTGTTCATCTTATAAAAATAAAAATTTTAAAAATTATTGGTTAATGTCATTATTGAAATATACTTGTCTACAACATCAAAACTTCACTTATTTCATGTAATAATGCATTTATTGGAAGGTGTTAAGGGTTTGTATCTGTCTGTCCCATTAGAAGTTCTGCCAAGGAACTGTTACTCTGCTTAAAACTTTCTGGCTGCAGTGATGGACTACGAAAGAGCGACATGATCGCACACAAATGCACGAGACCCAAGCAAATGTTAATGCTTCCCTTCGCGTGCCCAGTATGCAGAAGTCCAGTGGAGAAGAGAGGGACTTTCTCAAAGAAAGGAGTACAGATTGATAGTTTCTTTGCTCATGAAAAGATGTAAGACGGGCTAAGAGTGGAAAACAAGATGTACAGCCATTCTCTCAGCAGAACTGAGTAGTGAAGCATTCGTGGCACGATTCCATCGCATCCTATTGCCTGGGTCATTCTGGAAAGGTGTTTATCCCACTGTCCCTTGCACAGTTGGGGGTGGTCATAATTTGTTCGTTGTGGCCAGGCATTCCAGATCTGGGCTACCCGACACAATAATTGTGCCTAGATTTTTAGAGGCTATATGAAAAATGCTTTATTACAATCAAAAGGACTCGTTTAGCTTTATACATTGTGTTCACAGACTTCCACTACTTCAAGGTACAGTTGTACCACAAAGCTAATAGAGGGCACCATCCTAAGGAACCTTTATGAGGCCATGAGTAGAAGTCAGTATCAGGAACTTTCTCCCTCATCAAGGGAGCAGTTGGTTTCAAATTTCAATACTACTAACTTACTGACAATAGTTTAACACATTGTGATTTTAATTATTTTCTCTCACTTAAAAATACTCATATTCCTTAACACACGGATATCTGTGAGTGTTGTCCCTCAATTAAAAAAATAAGGAAGCAGTTAATGAAATAAAACCCAAGCAGATTTCAGAATACATTGTCACATTTTTATTGTTCACCATAACAACTGATTTAAAAGGAAATATCAGAATGTGAGGGAGCTTCAAAAATAATTGTGGGAGAAAGGGTCAAGCCAGCCAGAGTGCAGTAGAGCACCAAGGGAACACAACATTCCTCTAGTTCTTTAATGCTTCCTCCCCGCCACTATCGTCACCCCAGTTCTACCTTACAAATTTGTCCAGACTGGAGCATGTACAATGGTACAGATAAGAACTTTAGACAAATGAAATCCAAGACACATAAACCCTTCAGAAACAGGAATGGGACTAGCGATGAGGGTAGGGGAAAGGTGGGGGGAGAAGAAAGAGGAAGGGTGAACTGATCGCAATGATCAACGTATAACCACCACCCTGAGAGGGACAAACAGCAGAAATGTGGGTGCAGGGAGAAAACAGATGGTGTAAGGTATGAACATAGTAATAATTTATCACTTATCAAGGGTTCATGAAGGTGAGAGGAAAAAAATGAGCTGATCTCAAGGGCTCAAGTAGAAAATGTTTTGCAAATGATGATGGCAACATATGTACAAATGTGCTTGACACAATGGATGTATGGATTGTGGTAAGAGTTGTTAGAGTCCCCAATAAAGTGATTTATTAAAATTAAATTTGTGGGAAAAATATTTTATTGCAATTCCCCACAAATTCTTGAAGCCTGTTCTTAGTTACAGAGGGAGTAAAAATGAATTTGTGTTTTCAGAAGCTAGTCTATAGCTTATTTTTGAAAATGAATATAGAAGTGGGAGTGCAATTAGTATTATTCTAGCTTTGCAGCCTCACATCTCAAAATGCCTAGTTTTGTGTTAATTATGTAACAAAGAGCACGCATTTAAAGGATAAAAACAGGTCCATTTGTGGGGAAGGGGACTGCATTGTTTTATTTGCAACGGCGTATGAAGAAATTAAGTGGAGGTCATCTGAGTGCCCCTGGCTATACCAATCATCCATGTGTCATTCTACTTCTTTGCTGAGTTCGATTCAGGTTCCACACACAGCTCACGGACAATATGCATTATTATGGAAGTTTATTAGGGAAGATAACAGTTTACAGCAAACTATGATCAGAAAACATAAAAGAAATTGCCCTTTTTTTTCTGCAGCAGCACCTCTTCTCAGCCAAGCAGGCAGACACGTCTCCGGTTCTCAGCCTCTCTACACATGGGCTCTCGAGCAAGTGTTACAAAGCTCCTTTAAATAAACAAAAAACTAACAAACCAACAACACCGCCATCAAGTCAATGCCAATTTATAGTGCCCCTTTAGGGCAGGGTAGAACTGCCCCTTCGAGTTTCCAAGAGTGTAACTCTTTATGGGAGTAGAAAGCCCCATCTTTCTCCTGTAGAGCAGTTAGTGGTTTTAAACTGTGGACCTTGTGCTCCCTTGGTCTTGATTTTCCAGTAAAGTTCTCCTCTCACTATGAAGGACCTGTTGATTTTTTGCAGTCTTGTCTCAGTGTTTTGGGGCATCAAGTGGATGGTCATCTCCCTCTTCCCCCTTCTTGAAGGAGTGACCCCAGCTAATGGGAGGTTTCTTCTTTTGAAGTGGTTCTTATGAAGTGCATATATGAGGGGGATAATGTATGTTTCATAGCCAGTAAACAGACTTTCTATCCCTTTGTTTGGGAATTAGCCTCTCAGATTTGTTCAATTGATGGTTCTCCTTTTAGTAGTGGATTCATACAATATTTGTCCTTTTTGTGATTGACTAACTTCACTTAGCATAAGGGATTCCAGGTCCTTCCATGTCATGTGGTGTTTCATGCTTTCATCCCTGTTTTTAGGGATACATAGTGCTCCGTTGTGTGTATGTACCATAGTTTCTTTATCCCTTCTTCCGCTGCTGGGCATTTGGGATGCTTCCAGTTTCTTTCTTGCTCTTGCAAACTGTGCTGCTGTAAACATGGAATAGCATACAACTCATGTTTTGTGTTGTTTTCATTTGGGATATATGCCAAATAGTGCTATTGCTGGATTGTATGGGATTTTAATGTCCAGTTGTTCTTAAATATTGCCATATCATTTTCCATAGTAGTTGCATGTATTTACAAGTCCACCAACAGTATATATGATTCCCATTCTCTCCACAAGCTCTCCACCATTTGTTATTTTCTGTTTATGTTTCTCATTTGCATCTCCAGAATGGCTAGTGATCAAGAGCATTTTTTCAAGTGTTTATTAACCATATGTATTTCATTTTGGGTGAACTGTCTGTCTATATCTTTTCCACACTGTCATTAATCGGGTCATTTATTATTTTCTTATTGAGCTGTTGTAGAGTTCTTTATATTTTGGTAATTAAACTCTCGCCCTGATATGTCATTGGTAAACATTTTCTCCCAATCTGTGGGCTCTCATTTTACTCTTTTCATGAAGTATTTTGATGTGTATAAATAATGTTATTTTAGCATGCCTGACTCATATATTTTATCGTCCACTGTGGGTGAATCCTTTATTATACTTGGTAATCTATCTATGCCTTGCAATAGGGCCCTTAAGTTTGTTTTAGTTTTCTTATTGATGATACTAATAGCTCTGGGGTTTACATTTAGGTCTTATTTAATCTTGAGTTCATTTTTTGTGCATGATGAGACACACGGGTTTTGTTTTATTCTTCTGCATATGGAAATACAGTCTGCCCAACACCATTCATTGAAGAGTTTGTCTTTGTCCCATTGTCAAAGTTTTGTTGCCTGTAGGCTGATGCATTTATGTCTGGGTTTTCTCCTCTAATCCACTGGCTTAAATATCATTGTACCAGTACCAACCTGGGGTGAATACTGTCAGGTAGCATAAGGTCTCCTACTTGATTCTTTTCAAAAGAAGACCTTTGCTTATCCTGGGTCTTTTGCCTACCCATATGAAATTTGTAATTAGTTTTCCCCCACATCTTTAAAGAATGTATTTGGATTTGGATTAAGATTGCGTTATATTTGCAGATCATTTTGGGTAGTATTGACATTTTCAAAATATTAAGTCTGTTTACCCATGAGCACAGGATGGTCTTCCATTTGTGTAGGTCTTTTTTGTTTGTTTGTTTGTTTCTTGTAATGTTCTGAATTTTTCTCTGTATAGGTCTTTTGTATCTTTAATTCGGGTTATTCCTAAGTATTTCATCTTTTGTGTGGTTATTGTGAATGTTATTGCTTTCTTAATACATTTTTCCTACCTTTCTTCATTGATATACAGGTATCTGATTGATTTCTGGTTGTTAACTTTGTATCCTGCTACCATGCCAAATCCCTCAATTGTATCCAATAGACTATTTGTGGAGATATAGTTTATATGAAACATGGCCTTATTTATCCTGAGATTAGAAGAACTAGATGGTGCTGGGAGAATCAGCCTTGATTGTCTGTCTTGACTGGAAGAACAGTGTCCTGAGAATTTCTGAACCTGAATCATAACTGGTTGACTTCCTTAATAAACTGCAGTAGTTACATAATCTGGTGTCAACTTGTGGAGGGGTGGAGTCTAGCCTGTCAATCAGGTCGCAGCTTGATGACCTCAGTTGGAGGTGCCACAGAGATAAATAACTCGCTGGAGGTGGGACACAGCCACACTCCCTGTGAGACATTCCTGTTGAGAAGATACATGGAGCTACATTAGAGCCTTGGAGCTGAAGGAGCCACGTGGAAGCTCCCTGCAAGCGCTGAGATGCTTCCACTACCACTGAATCCACATGACTTTTCACCAACTGGCCTGTGATCTTCCTGCATTCAGCATCATTGCATGTATTGCGTGAGTCAGAAGAGGGCTTTAGAGATTGGTATCAGACATATGCGCTAATATCGGACTTAAGGACTTGATCTGGACTGGGCTGGGATGTTTTCTCAACATTCAATTGCTCTTATCTATAAAGCTCTTTCTTATACACATATGAGTGTCTATGAATTTGTTTCTCTAGTCTACCCAAACTAACACATAAACCCTATCATTGTGACTATAGGTTTCATATACTGGGTGGCCGTTGCAATGAATTAATGAACCCAGTAGAGAAGGAAAGGGTGTAAGGGTGGTTTTATTTCTTGACATCAGAAATGTTAAGAAGT